GGTGGTAATACTGGGAAACTGGAGAGTCTAAGGAGATTGCTTGTGAGACTTGCGGTTAGCCAGTGGGGTGAGACCGAAGTCCTCCTAGTCTGGCTGGTTTGGTTTGCCTTAGGAGGTGGAAAAAAACCCAGCCTTGGGCTGTAACTGCCCTGTTTGAGCAATTTGTCCTGAGTTGGCACTCTCAGTTGGGTTCCGCCAGAACCGCATTGTCACAGATGGTTTCCTACCGTTCAACAGCACATTCTGCACTTCAAATGAGCAAGCCATTTTCTATGCCCAAGAACCATCCAGGAGCCAAGCCTTTAAAGGTATCGTGGGAAGATTGGGGTAAATAGTTTTCCCTGATTCTTTAGTCAGTAAGTCTGGATTTCTTTGTTACTAAAAACAAAGTGACAGGTGAATCAGATCTGTGAACCATACCCATTCTTGCCAGGATGTCGCTATCAGGATGATTTTGACTTCACCTGTGTTTTATCTTTTTTAGGACTTTGGGAAGCAACAGTGTGAGGGGGTGGGCAGAATATGCATACAGCAGTGATCGTGGTCATGGAATGAGGAAAGCATCTCCTAGGCAACTGCAGCCATGTTCTCCCTTTGAGTAGATCTTGCGAAATATCCTGTTGAATGATGTTGCAAAGAAGTCTAACTCTGGGAAGCTCCAAGTGAAGAATATCTCCTATAGGGTCAGATTGCTCAGTTCCCACTTGTGCTCTTGGCAAAAATTTCTGCTCAGCTTGTTGGCTATGGTGTTCTGTAGACTAGGTACATATGCGGCTGAGATATTGATCTGGTTGGCTATGCACCAGTTTCCAAGTTTTACTTCTTTTGTGCACAAGGATAGGGATCTTGCTCCTCATTGGCAGTTTATGTAATACATGGTTGTTTGGTCATCCATCATGACGCTGATTGGATAATCTTTGATTATGGGTAGAAAATGGGTTGCATGCATACCAAACAGCTCTAAGCTCAAGTAGAATGATGCAAAAGCAGATTCCTGAGGGGTCCACTTTCCTTGTACTGTAAGGTTTTCAAGGTGGGCACTCCATCCTATCAGAGAGGAGTCTGCTGTTACGGTTTCTGTGGAGGATGGATGAATGAAAAGAACCTCCCCCACAAGTCTAGCAGGGATCTTTCCACCAATCAAAAGACTTGAGGACTTTTTGGGGAATTGATATTAGTTTGTTTAGGCCATGATTTTGGGGCATATAGACAGTCCTGAAAGCATCAGGAATATAATCTGGCATGAGGTGTCATGAATGTGCAGCCTGCCATGTGACCCAACAGTTGCTGGTAGGTTTTTGCTGATGTTTGAGGACTTAACTGAAGCTGGGTGATGAATCAATCTGATGGTAAATAGTCCCTGAATGTTCAGGAGTCCAGGGTGACTCCTATGAACTCGATGGGTATCAAAGTGGGCTTTTCTGTGTTGAGTCTTAGTTCCAGTGAGTTGAACAGGACTAGAAACTTGGAACTGACCTCTTTCATTTTATTGAACATCTCCCACAAGAAGAATTAATTTATTGTCGTTTGTGTAGTTGTATTTAGTACTCAGGGTGTGGTAATTTGCTTCCTTGAATCGTAAGCAGGCAGAGAGTAACTTTTAGGCCTCAAAAGGTCCAGCCATTTATGCTCTTCATTGTGTAGTGTGGGCCTGGAATGGTAGTGTTTGTTTTCTTTATTTACAGCATCAACCATTAAGGAATTTGGGACAAGACGGGTGAATAGTTATTCTGCGCCCTTGATGGGTACATAATATTTCTTGTCTGCTCTTTTGAAAGTGCATGGGACAATGGCTGGTGATTGCCATACTGTTTTCACTGGCTCTAGCAAGGCAACATCATGGGGAGTCAAGTGGGAGGAGGGTCTCATAGAATGCTCTATGAGGAGCAGCTTAAGTCGGTCTTCTCTCAGCTTCCTTAATCTACTCCCAAATCCGATACAGAGCTTGAAACCTCGAAGGGATGTGTCTCTCCGCCCAGACAGCAGGGACTACTGGAATGACCACTGGTGAAGGGAAAAGACTTTCTACAGGTGTAACAGGGTTTAAAACTCAGGGCTTGGGGCGTACCCATCAAGAAGAAAGGAAAAGAAGGCTCCAACCAACTGAGAGGCCCTATGGGTGGGTGACCACAAAAAGAAGGGAGGAGCCTCCCCCCCAAAATCCACATGAAAATCATGAAAGGAAAGTTAAAAATTAAAAAAAAAGATGATAAAGATGAAAAATTTAAGAATAATGCATGGAAGGTAGCTAGGACGAGGGGTAAGCTACCCCAGACACTGCAGAGCAGTTGAGAAGGAACTGGAATGGTGGTGGGTCCGCCCTGCCTTGCATGCCCTCAGATCAGAGCACAATGGTGTATAGAGCACAGGAGGAGATCATGCAGACACTGCTACCCAAAATCTATGATCAGGGGCTGTGGCACTCTGTACCTCAAAGCAGCCCCCTGGGACCCTCATATTCACCTGTCATACAGTTATGATATATATTTCATATAAAATATGCCGTATAAGATATCATATGAAAGGTCATGATCTGAAGAAACCCATTGTTCTGTCCAAATATGTATATCGTCAGTGTATATGAAGTTATGAGATTTTGCTGTATGGTTGTTGCTGAAATACGTTGTAAGTTTGAGAGTCTCTACTGGTAGATGGTGATCCACTCCCCGGAGGGTGTTAAGCAACCATTAATCAGCAGGGGAGTTGTAAACAAGGGATTTACAATAATGTAACAGGGCTGCCCAAGCATCACACAATGGGGGATTGCTCAACCCTGTGACTCAGCAAAGCCCACCAGGACATGTCTGGGCTAGTGTTTTTTAGGCACATGGACTGAGGATTCAAAATAGGAGACAGTGGCATCATGCCTTGGCCTTTCTCCTTCCCCACCTACGCTGGAAGCAACAAGAATGCTGGGAAGACAAAGACTTGATCTGAGGAGACTGGTTCCAGGCTTAAAAGGGGAAGCCTGTGTATTAAGAACTGCAACATCCAGTGGGGTGAGAAAACTGCTTGATCCAAATACAACCTAATCTAGTAAGGTTTAAGATTTAGACTGTATGTTTACCCTTTTTTTCCTTTTTTGGTAACTAACAAAAAAGTTATAAGTGTTAGTTTAGTGCCTAACACTTATAAATCACTTAAACTCTATCTTTCTGTAGTTAACAAATCTGTTTTATATTTTACTTAAAACAGTGTGGTTTGGTTGAAGTGCCTGGGAAATCTCAGCTCAGGTACAAAGGCTGGTGCATGTCCTCTCTACATCTACATTATTACCATTACATTGGGTAATAAACTTACATTGGTGAGGTTTCTGACCAGGGCAAGATGGTACAGTTTTGGGATACAAGACTGGGAGCTGGGGGGAATTGGTAGGTGCCTTTCTCTCTGTGAGATTCGTGAGTGGCTTTGGGAGCATTCACGCAATCTAGCTGGGTGTGGGGCTCCACATGCTGTTGTGCTGAGTGATAGCAGCACCTGGAGGGGGTTTTCTGCCTGTCACTAACAAAGCATTGTGAGAAAGCCCAGGCTAGAGAGTTAAGGGGACACAGCGGTACCCCATTATAGGGGAACATGCACATCTGAAGTGGAGCACTCAGAGGGACAATTACTCAAAGAACTCTCCTTTCAGGTTTACAACCTCTCAGTTGGAGCTCTGCTTTTTTTCATGGCTGAAGTCAGAAGGCAGGGACTGACCTTCCAGACAAAACTACTCCCAACTTCCTGAGAAACGTAAACACAGTTGCTGAGAAAATAAAAAGTTATGTACTTGTTCACCACCTACTTCTGTTACAATTCTGTTGAGACTCAGTCCCTTTTGGAACCACACATGAAAAGCTTTTTCCTTTTAAAAGGTTGAACTTTTTTCCCCTTGAAGTCTAGGCTGCTAAAACATTCAGTTTCAAAATCGTCACAGGGATATAGAATTTCACTAAGGCTGCTCTTTTTATCTCCCACCGCTGCTCAGTCATACAGGTCATTGGAGGTCAAAGTGAATGGAGAGTTGTTGGCATATGCTTTTGAACCAAACATTAATAATGGAAAGAAACAGCCCACCTTCCCATCTTACCCAGGGATATACCTCTTTACCATCTTTACTCTCTTTACTATCCCATCTTTACCAGCGATATACCTCTAAAGAACTTTGAAAATCTTTGTTAACTAAGATGCTATCTATGTTTAACTGTGTTTGAGCAGAAATATGCAGTGCTGAATTTTACAATGGTAATTCAAAGTGATGATCTATTATGGCTAAACATTTCTGGCATAGTCTATATATGCTTCAAAGCCGATTTTCATAACATCATTCTAGATATGGGTTTCCATAAATTCTTGAAATGGAAAACATGTATTCCCTTTTAAGTGATTGCTTTTTATATCTGGAGGACAAAAGTAGCTTTTACATGCTGATACGAGTGAACGTACGATCTGAACAAACATTCTTTTTTCTCATGTGTCTGTATAAAAACAAGTTAAAAGCTATTGGTTTTTCTCCTCCTATCACTTCTATCAGGACTGTGATTTAGTCTGTCATTCTAAGCATATTTATTTACTCTGCTCTAGACAGTACACAGATCTCCAGGAATCTTATACTCTACTGACATGATAAAAAGTCAAATATAAATGATAAAACAAAACAGGAATTCAGTTGAAGAATTCAACCCATTTGCCGCTCTGCAGAAACTGCTCCTTGCAGGGGCCTGGCAGGCTGCCAAGCACAGCTCTTTGAAAATGCAAACAAACAACAAAATCCAGATTCAATGCCCCAGGATATTTCTGAGCACCTGTTCTTTACTTGAAATAATAAAATGTATATAAATACCCACGCCCACAGTGCCATACAAAACATGGAGCCTCTGCAAAGGTTTTTATGCTGTACTCTACAGTATAACATGCTGAAGATATGTTCACAGGCAATTATTGATTAACAGCCTGACAAAGCTGCTCCTGCCCACCAACCCATTTCTCTTTCTATAAGAAGGGAAAAAAGCAGAACTTACACTGTACTATGTGTGAGATTAAGAGTGCAGCACTGGTGTCATTACATGTTAGCCTGCCTTGTACCAGGTCTTGCTTCACTTGCAATGCAAACAGGTACCTGCAAACACAAAAGTGAACAAAGTCACATACAAAGCACTAAGAAAAAAAGCAATAAAATGCTGATTCATAATCTGGCAATAGGTATCCTTTGCCTGTTGGAATCTATACAAGTGATCTGATTTTCTTGAGTTTTAGAGACTCAATAAAGCATAACAATAATGTGTTAGTCTTTAGGGTTTTACATAGCAGCTGCTTTTCATAGCCAAGACAGCCTAAATGTCTATATAACGTAATGAGCACTGGAACTGAAATGACAGTGTAGACAAAACATGGTACCCTCAGCAATAGTTTAACAAGCAGCCCTAGGATATTGGAGCCTATTTTAATCAAGAAAGAATGCTGGATAAGGCCCTGGAGTGGAGTTATCTCCTACTCCTCCTAAGGTGCCAATGGAACTTCCAATTAGGCAGCCACCAGAGAATGACCTCACTGCATAGTAAGTGGTGGGAGCTGCCGTCTGGCTTGTAGGAAAAGCTGTTTGGCCCCTTCAGGGGATAGATAGATGGCTGAGTGTGAGAGTGACTTGCTGCTGCAGCAGCTTCAGACCAGGTCCATGTGGGGATGCTGACCCATCTCTCACCCCCCCCCCCCACGTGACTGGGAGAGGGGGTGTGTGACGTTGTGCAGTCTATATGGTTTTATAAAAAATTGATAATTCAATATAATGTAACTGAGAT